ATAGTCAATTATTCGCACCAGGGCCCACACGTACGCACTGAGACACACTGTATAGCTCGTCCAAACGTCCCATCTTCTTTGTTTTTCTGGTCTCACTCTCGTCCAGCCCCTTTTCGACGACTTTTCAAAGCCATTTCCACTTTAGAAACACCGATTCACGCAGTTTTTTTTCGCCTTCATCGCACTATTTTCCATCTAATCTTCCATTTTTCGCCATAATCTGGATTACCGAAATTTATCGTGAACCGTTCCTTTAAGTCGTCTAGTCACACGTACATTTTAATGGTGTTCACCATGAACTTAATCCCACGAAAGTAAGTTGCGATATCCACCGCCTCCCACCTTCTCTTGGTGATGGGAATGAAGCCCTTAACCATGTGTACAACATTCTTCCTTAACAGCTATGTACAGTGCTTAGAAATGCTCTCCGAGCGCCTTTTACGTTTTGAATGGTACCTTACCTGCACAAATCACCAATCACTTTTCTGACCTGCCTCTTCCCTGATTCTCGACGCACCTAATTGCTAGCTATCACCTCGTAGCCACACGGTTGATCTTTTTATTCAAGAGCACATCCAATTATTCTTCTTACCTCCTCTTGGCTTCTGTGGAATTCCTTACCGCCAAACGTTTTCCACAAAGCGTCCGAATTCTTTGCCTTGCTACTCCAGCCATGGCAAGATTCTTGGAAAGCCTCGTAGACAGCTAGATCATTTGAAACTCTCTACTTTAGCTAACACTTGCATGACGACTCTCCTTTCTACAGCCCTCATTGTACCGTTCCAAAGCAACACTGCCTGGTCTCCACCGAACCCATTTCCAGTCTTTTCCACTGTATTCCTCGCACAATGTAGGATGACTTTCGCAGCGTTGCTGCAGGTCTGCTGCATCTTTTATTGGAGATCTGGGGATAGGGTTCGTTGAAACAGCCACCTCTCTTAAGAGCGCTCCATGAAGGAATTATTCAAGGGCAGCAAATCTGCATGGTCAGTCATGCGATTCGAGTGAATGCGATAAGTCTGAAAGCTACATATACGCGCCCCTCACGTCCTGACAGAAGCATTCACAATTGGTTTCCACGTGTGACCAGCGCAGCACGGTTCCTACCGCTTCTATTTACTCGGAACCTCATTACAAAAGAGTGGCATATGAACCTTTGAAGACTATCCTCTACGCTGGCGATATCACGGATGGCGGAGAGTAAGTAAAGGCTCTAAAACAAGCTGCTGCGGAGAGTAGGTAAAGACCCAAGACAAGCTGCTGTGGTTGCAGTAAATGCTGGCGGAGAAGGGGCAGGGAGTCAGCTCGTCATTTCAGGGTCAGGGTCGCCCGTGCCGTCTTCTGCCTTTCTAGATTTTACTCTCGAGTTCTTTTCCGCTGTAATCGTATGTGTTGTATCCCCTTGCCCTTGCTTACGGTCACTAAGTTCTTGTTTGGTGAAAGGGAGACAAACGGAGATGATGAATAGGTGACGTGTCCCAACACTTCAAGTTGTGGATTCTGGGTTGGAGCAGCCAGTATGTGTGAATGAGTTTGTCGAGTTGTAGCGTAGTCCTTCAATAGGAGAGCCCTGAATCATGTAGTACTCGCCTTTTACCAGGGTTTTACCCAGTCCACTGCATAAAAACAAATTGCGTGGGTTAGACACTAGGAGGTAACCGACCGAATTACAAACTTCGATCCCAACATACCGTAATCCTGGACTCATCTTTTCTACGCAGCTTACAATGAAGCACTTCTCGCATCTCCTACACTTCCTGTTTCGAATTAATGCTTGACGAGTCGTATTTTCTGTTGGCTATAAGCTCCAAACAATGAGTAGAGAAGGAAAAACGCTACAGATAAACGACCTCGCTGGGTATTTGACCGGCTTCAAGAATGGAAAAGCATGTAAGCAAATACTTTGCCGACGCATTAGCCTGTTTATCAGCTTATATGAGAGCAGTTTTTGCCTGTCCCAATTCTTATATAATTGATTAATTCTGCTGAACTTAGAGGAGCTCTAGACCATGAAATTGGTGGCTTCCGCCTGCCTCTTTAAAGGCACAGTTCACGATAATGTCCTTTCTAGGTAGAAAAAATGTGAGTGCTGATGTAGAATAGTGCATCGGTAGCAAGAAGGCAAAAAAAATCCGGCTACTTCACGAAAAGGTTTCCTAAAAGTAGTGGAATTAGAGGTAGGAGATCACTATGAGGGCAATGACATGGAACGGGTATCCGGACGAGATCTCAGTGGTTGAAATCGCGCAAAGAGTTGAATACATCAAGCAAAAATTGTCCAAAACTGTCTCCCGTTTTCGCCAGGGTCATGACAAATTGTTTAAACTTCCTGTGTGGGTGTCCCTTGTAAAACACCGCCGTACAATGCCGTCGAAACTCGTCCGCTGTGGGTGTGGCATCCACAGGCTAGAATTTCTGGCCCCTTATTGTGCCCTATCCAAATTTTCCACCTTATAAGTGGAGGTATGTTATAAGGGGGTGCCTCGAATTCACACTATGAGGAAATCTCAACAACCATTTTTATCGTAAACTGTGCCTTCAGACAGAAACGAAAATTCTGCAAGGGCACTCGGCTCTTACAGTAATCTGTACGGCATGACACTATTTTAATACGCACATATACAACGTGTCGAAAAGAGGTCTTGGGCAGGGACACAGGGAAGGGGGTGGTGAAGCTAGAGGTTACTGTAAGAGCCAAGTGCTCGTACTGAATTTTCGTTTCCATGCGTTTTTAATGGCACCTATTTCATGAATCTGATAGAATTTTGATTATTAATGTTTTCGAGCCTCTATCAAATTACTATTACCTTGTTTACTCTCGTTGCCTATTTCTGAAAATCAACGGGAAATTGCCCCGAGTGGTTGTAAACAGTGGTTCTTGCCGCCTGTTGTTGTCCATGCAACGAGATGTTTTTCAGCTGCAAAATCGATGCCTTGGTGCTTGCTGCTAGACCCGCTGCTACCCATCTGTTGACGTTTTTCTTCAAGTTTACTGCTTCATCATGCTTACCTAAATATCAATTCATAAGGATGTCAATCCAGAACCACCTCGAGCTTCACCTACCTCAACCAAACAGCACTTAGCTAGCTTAACGATAACTATATGATTCAATAGCCCAGACCGTGGGCCTTGGTGACTGAACCAAACCTGCTTTTGAACAACCACCTCTCTCTCCTTTTTCATTCGTACCCTTTCCCCTTCTACTACTTCTAGTTGGGAACTGAAGCGAGGGTCTGCAAGTGATAACGATTTAACACTTCTAGAGGTTTCTTTCTTAAGCTTAGCTTGTAACCCAATTCACATTCAACTTCCACTACTGATGAACGAACCTTCTGAAGACTTTGCAAACACCGAGTGGATGCGGGGGAAGTTTCTGAAAACAGCCCTGGAACACCTTGAACAATGTTTGGGCGCAATTGCACCATCCCCCCATCACCCGACGCCTCTTTCTGAAATAACCTCTGCGGTCATTTTTGTCCCCGTTGCTGATGCATTTTGTGTATATTACTTCTTCACGATAGGACGCCTTGGAAATTCATTTGTCATTTGTTTCGTTCCTGCCTTTTTCCTTTTCTATCGTTATCATTTAATTTCGAGCATTCGACTGACTTTCGCTCACCTCATTTGCTGAACCGTTTTCACCCGAAGTATATCTGCTGCGTTCGCTTTGGTGTAAATAAATCGTGAACGCTACTCAAATTCGCAGTGGAGGGGGGAGGATTGAATAGTTGGATCTAGCTTCTGAGTCATGGTATGTAGGGTAGATCAGCTTTTTTCCATATACTGGCGCCTTGATACAAGACTTCACTGCCCCTGCGCTAACTCATAATCATACCGAAATAAATCAAAGTTCAAGCGCAAAAACTCAGTATATGAAGCTAAAAAAGTATGTTCACAATGTCCTTACGAGGTGGTGTATTAGCGGGTGGCGCACTATCCCACACACATGGTCACGGGTTCGAATCCTGGATCGACATCCGCCTAGACCAACTAAGCCTTCTAACCCCTGGTGTCGGTTAATTAGCCACCAGGCTCCTTGTCAGGAAGGATAGAACCACTGACTTGTACATCAGGTGGCCATCGCAAGCATTGTATGGGCCGCATACGCATTCAATACGCCACTACTATTCCGAAATGAAGTCGAATTTGTGGGCGCATCCTCCGACGGGTTGATTGAGGCCAAAAGACTATCATCTATAATTGCCTTGATTGGAACCTGCTTGCTGTTTACATGCCTTCCCATGGAACTAGTTCCCACATGAGTGATTTTTTATTACAATGGCATTTGTCTGTCTAATGTTTATGTTCGTTTTCCTGCATACTGCTACTAGCTAGAAATCCCTGAACCTATAAGTTGTGAACCCATAAATCTTCTCTCATATTCCTAATTAATATGTAAATCAACAAGTTTCTTTGGTGATTGTGATTTCACTATAACAATTTTGCAAATTTTGCAATTTAATCAACGTAGTTCCTTTATTTCACTCAATCTTTCTCCAGATATGACTTCTAGAGCTCTCATTGGCCTATCACAAGATTTTTAATTGAAATTTACTGGCGAACCTTTTGGCGATATCGCCTTTCTCAGAGCTTGAAATGGAATCGAAATCAATTTGCGGATAGCCGATCAAGCGTCTCTACAGCCCTGCCGAAGTTCGAGACCTCCTCCTCCCCCTCCCACGCACGTAATGTGCAGGAGGCCACTCACCGTAGCTATATGTTAGGTTGGCGTTTGAGTAAGTAATCGCANGCTTTTGGATATAAAGCGCCCTGGAAAAGGTAGTCACGCTTCAAGGTAAATGTTCGGAGTAATTAATATACGATTACTTAGTTGTCAACCTAGTTCTTGATAGGGTAAGAAGATCACTGGGTCAGCTACAACTATTAAGGTCAAAAGGTCTGATCTCATTCTCCCCTTCATTCATTGCTTCTTATAGAGCAGCCTATGGAAATACGAACGAAAAACGTTCAGATTTCGAAGAGTAACTGCTATTTTATGCTGCTTGTACAAATCTCTTTTACTAATTTGAACCAACTTCAGTAATGTTTTTATCAAAGCTTGTTTTTGCCTGCTTACTTGAAAGTCGAATTCCTCACAACTCACATGACGTGTTCGCTAACAAACGGCGAAACTTAACTCATACTCGAAGGTACTGTGGCAAAAATAGCATTTTAAGCGTCTACTCTTGGGTGTTGATGATAGTGATGATTGTTTCGATGTGTCATGGTGTCTCCTTAGCTTTATGCCGATCTATCATTTAATTGAATGATATAGTTGCAGAGACTATAGATTGCAATGGCTCAGGTTGCAATGGCTCGAGCTTTGGACGGCCAAATCGCATTGGTAACGGGAGCGAGCAGAGGAATCGGTGGGTTAGCTGCTGCTATTTTCTAGTTGCTTGTGTTGAGATGCTCCGTCCAGTAGATTGATCAGACTTCCTGTATGATTTCTTTTTTGATACTATGATTTTTTCTAGTTTTTGCCCTTACATAACTTATTGTTAGCTATTTTTTCCATGCTCTTTTCTTCGAAACTTCACTCTAAAAGGTGAGTTTAAGTATAATGAACGCTTCATGTTCCATATCCGTTTCTCCTAGGATTTTATCAGCTATCAGGCAGCCTGTTTCTTATCGGTCAATGGGTTAGAGGTTGAAGGCACAGTTCACGATAATTTCAAGGCACACATTTTAGGAGTAAAGCGTATGAGTTGGTATATAACAATTTATCGGGGGAGAAGAAAGCGAGAGAGTCCGCCGACTTTGCGAAAAATGGACTCCCTAAAAGAGCTGAAGCCATGACTAGTTCTTTGTATTTCCAAAATTCGTGCCCACTGTGAATGGTGCTGCCGTAATAGTCGTCCGCCTTCGAAGCCGATACAATCTTTGAGCCCTTTTAATGCCATGTTGAGCTTGGCTGGCTTTTTCACTCACCTTTTGGATCTTCTGCTTCTTGATGTTTTACTTTTCTTCTACACTATTTGTTAGTTACAGTGTTCAATTGGAACGCATTTCCATGTTCACGATTTCCCTTCAGTTGAATTCATTGTGAATCTCAGATTTCCGGAAAACCCCAAACAAGAAGATCACCGGTCGAACAAAAACTTGAACTGCTCTCTTTTTTCAGGAAGAGGAATTGCTCTCCAGCTGGGACAGAGCGGAGCAACGGTATACATCACTGGCAGAAAGCCTGAAAAGAGTCTGCAGAGTCAGTACCAGAATTTGCCTACATTGCAGCAAACTGCTGAAGGTGAGTATTCATATAACAAGGAATTCATGCTAGGGCACCCATTTGTGCGGGATTTATTTCAAAGAAGCGTTCATGAATGTGGTCTCTACCTCTCAGTCCGATTCTCAGTGCGAAGTTGTAGTGACGCCCTTTGTCAGAGCCTCTAACGCAAAGTTAGGAGGAAATATGTTCATCAAGTCAGCAGCAATGTCACAGTGAAGACCTGGCTCTGCAGAAGCGTTGCCAAAAGCTTCAGTTTCCTGCCACACTGGGTCTTTTTGTCACAACTTGCGTTTAGAGTGACTCATGGTATCAGTAAATAATGACCTCTGTAGGCTGAAATATTCGATGTTGTGAGAGGTGCCCTTTCCTTTTGCGTTGTGGTGCATGAATTTATGTTTGTGACACATTTCTTACAAGAGGTCATAATCAGTCCTTGTGGATAGAGTGACAATGAGTCCGAGAGACATTTTGATGGAAATTGTTACTCCAAGTTGATGATGTTTTAGACATTCGCCGCAGGGGTGGTAAGGCGGTTCCCGTCTACTGCGACCATACCGATCACAATGATATCGCAAAGTTGTTTGAGCAAATTCATAAGGAGAACAGTGGAACACTAAATGTGCTTGTAAATGCTGCCTATGCCGGAGCCAAGGTTGTTACATTGTATAGTCTCCTTTTCTGTGAACGTTACCCTGAATCTTTGTTAATCGTTTAGGACATGGCCGAAGCCGGTTCGATCCCCTTTTTCGAGGCCGATCCTTTGCTTTGGGACTCAGTAAACAACGTTGGTTTAAGAAACAACTACATTTGCTGCGTACATGCTGCGAGAATGATGGTAAAGAAACAGTGAGTTTTTTCATTCAAATTTCCGATATCTGTCGATGGCAGGGTCTATTTATAAGAAATGCGCAAAATCGCATTTTTCTATAGATACGCCATTTGCATGCCCGGCACCTTTGCTTTTCACTTTTTTAGTAATACATATATTTTGTTATATATTCGGCCACATCCTGCGCAGTCATTCCCATATCAGATGGCAACAGTGTTCCAACTGAAACAAAAACAGAGTTACATCGCAGTACCTCTCGGTTCTTTTCCGGGAGGCGTTTATCTTTTCCATAGTGCAGAACAATATTTTTTGGAATTAGGCCATTATTTGAGATCCCGTTTATAGGTCAGAAATATGGCCTGTATAAACTGCAGAGGCATATCTTGTTCAAACCCGCGCTTTTTCAATTTTCGTTTCATTTCTTCAAGTCGTCTCAGAAACTGCTCTTGTATTAATTAAGCGAACCTGGAGAATGAAAAACTAGAGTTGCCCGGAGTGTACCCATGCAAAATTCCGGCGATATGTGGGGGTGGTGCGTTCTTGTCGCACTCCATCGCTTATTAAGCCCAACTCACTGGGGTCGAGTTTCTTGTAGTAATTATCAATCTTCCCCGACTCCTAAAACGTAGTTTGTCGTTTGTAAGAGTCTAGAGGGGTTTCATCTGAAGAGTGGGATAGTCTCGTGAATACTGATTGCCTTTACTTACCATTAGGTTATTCCAAGACGCCATGGTCAAATCTGAGTTCAAAATCTCAAACAGCTTCAACTGTCCCTGTAGAACTGATGATTGAAGCCCTTCGTCGTTATTCTATAGACATACAGAATAGTTCGAAACATTGTTAATTGTTACATTTGAAATATTCATAGTTCTTGCAGTTATCAAACATTTTTAGTCATGCTTAGTGGAGCAAATACCCCTACTAATGAAATTCTCTTCAAAGTGATTCGAGTGCAGGCCGTTATTTGCATTGTATGGTTGTTTTCAATCTTTGCTCTTAGATCTGGTCTAATTGTGAATATTTCTTCTGCCGGTGGCTTGCAGTATACGTTCAACGTCCCTTATGGTGTAGGTAAAGCAGCGGTTAGTGTTTCAGTCGTTTGATATGTATGTATTTACTAGCCCCCAATCCAACCTCCTAATAAAGTGGGAATTAGCCCATATTTATCGAAGTTAGAGTGGGAACGTACGTATATTCATGGAAGTATAAATGGGATTAAATATTTTCGTAAGCAATCACCCGAAATTAAGGCAAGGTAACGACGTCACCCCTGAGAAGATCATAATCTAGACAGTGAAATACCATGACCTCCTTATATATGGAGCAATGGAGCTTATCAAATCTCTGCTTTTCACTGATTTTCACAACTTATAAACGGTTCTAGCCTTACAGCTAGATCGAATGTCTGCAGACATGGCAGTCGAGTTGAATCCTCATGGTGTCTCTGTGGTGTCCTTATGGCCTGGAATGGTCCGAACTGAATATTCTGAGATACTGAGGAATGAAGGCAAACTGGAAAAGATGGTGCAACAATCGAAGGTTTGTATGTACTGGAATTTTGAATCAGTCTTAATCATAGTCGTCCTTTATTTGAACTGACCATGAGTACTTGCAATTGTAGGAGGCTATTGACAAATCTTTCAAAGAGAGCGAGTCCACTGAGTTTGTTGGCAAAGCTGTCGTGGCCCTAGCGACTGATAAGAAAGTCATAAGGAAGTCGGGGAAAATCCTAATGACCTACGACTTGGCCTGTGAATATGGCTTTAAGGATGTCGATGGTGAGTTGTTGGATTATTTCAGCTAGAATTTAGCAAAAGCATGTCATGTGTGCTATGACCACACGATTTTTTTTGCTATAAGTATGTTTTTCTTTTATTACAGTTTCCTGCTGTTAAAGTCTATGTTTTTCATGTTAGTCTTCAAAAAAGCGAGTGTATTAAGCGGAATTGTAATTCATAGCTTTCTTCGTGCGCGATGCGATTATACACTAGTGACATACGGACAGTGTCCTTCTTAGGTAAGGTCATCGTTGCGGAGCACGGCGACTTTTAGCATAATTCTGTTCGAGAATGATTTTTCTGGGGCACGATGGGATATCGGGAGGGGCTTAATTCTAAGTGAACTACAGCTGAAGTTGGTCCCAAACATACACTTGTTTAGGATTAAAACTCTCATTGTAACAATAGAGTAAAGATTGATGGGAGACTAATACCACAGAGGGAAAGTTAATTTGTAGCAACCCATGAAAATAGAGGCATCACAAAGGTTTCAACATCACGTGATCCGTACCAGAAAAGAACAGCAATGAATGCTAGATCAGAGTGGCAAGATGTTGAATATTATTATCGAATGTTCTGGCGTACAAAGATGAGCAATAATTGCAATAAATGCGTTTTTATTGTCCAGCGATCAAATTCAATTGGTTCAACCACCATCCAATAATTTTGACGACACTTAATTACCCGTTCCATCCAGACCAGACTGGTTTGAAGAGGGCGATGGTTCCAAAAAGTCAAAAAGTGGTTTTCATTTTGCATGAGTCATTCACGCAATTTGATCGTCAAAAAAATATATTGCATTCTTTCATCGGTTGGCGAATTAGGTACGATGAGGAGAAAATTAATGTCGAATAGGTTTAGGAATCGCATGCTTGCTTCCTCCGATGTTTTCGAAAGGCAATGCTTTGTCAACCACTGGGATTCGCTGTCATTTTTTTGTCGGTGACCTTGGAACCCTGAGGCTGTACTCTTGCAAGTTCTTCCTCCCCCTTTTCAAGTACTTTACTGTCTACTTTTAAGTCGACGTGATTAAGTTCTGTATGCTCCACTTATCTATTTGACTTCTCAAGGTCTATTGACTTCCAAAGGCCAACTCAAGATGAGAATTACTTCGCAGGGCGAGCTATTAAGAGCAAACGTAGGCATTTGAGCAGACTATGCGTGGCCTTGCCGGGTCCGAAAGCGGCCTTGATAGTGCGAAAACAAGGCTCATCCGCCACCGGCTTCACCTTTGTCATGGTCTCAATATCGAAAATGTTTCGTTCCCGCAGGTACATAAAAAAGACGACGCCCTTTGCTTGACACTTCAGTGGACGTCAATGCTTTTCGAGTGAATTTGCTTGAGCCCAAGTTTCTCTTGCATGACAGGGGCATATGCCACCATTGAATCGAAGATTTACTGTGTCTGCTGGTCCATACAAGCATACTCAAATTTGAACCTCAATTACTCAATATGCTTATGCGGGCTGTCGCATCTTTTCGTTCTTTCGACCGATACTGTGGTAACCCATTGTCGTGATGATCAAAGTGTGTTAATTCAAAAGCTGAAAAAAAAACGGAAAAGCAAACTTTAAAAACAAAAATTTCAAATCAATTGTGTGTTTATCTTGATCGCCTATCATTTGCGTCATTACATGTAGTAGTTATGTGTGTATGCGTCAGGATTCAATAATTTTGCTAGATTGTTATATAAATGGAATTTTCTTCCAATTTTTGAAATCCGAAGCATGTTCTTTAGTATGCCACTAATCTTTAAATCGCAATCAGTTTTGTGTCAATTTGAAGTTAGGTCGGAAATGCTTTGACTGACAGTAGTTCAGTTTTTTGCTTTGATCATCATTTCTCAGTTCGACTTCTTTTGAGCGTAGTGATAACAAGATGAGTTGGATCAAGATCAGGTCAAACATTTCATTGCTAGGGATAGCGTAAATAATATGGTTAATTGTTCAAACCATTAGATAATGCCGTAATGAGGCAAAAACTTCATCTTTTTCAAAATGGTCATACTGACTGTCATCGAGTAATAACTTAATCGTTTCTGGATTTCGGTTTCCCATTTCGCGACGATTACCGTTTTTCAGGCAATCTACCTATGGACATACGTCGCGTCGCAACGGCTCTTGAATTTTTTGGATTCACTCGAATCGCCTCGGTCACGCCGTCTTTCTTTCGAATCCCATTATGGGGAATGCATTTCGCTTCGTATAAATTCCCTTATAAAATTTGGTAACTTGCCCCTTTCTGTTATGCACACTCTATGATTGTCTTCTCTGGGTAGCAAACCTTGAAGGTAATCACGCGATGTTGATGGCATATACACTAGTCCTTACTTCCTTGTTCAGTCATGCAAGTTTAGAGTATTCCATATGAACCTTCGAACTCAACTCTCAGATCAGCGTTGTAATTATTGCTAGCTGTCATAGGTCATATTTTCCACATTGCTTTGTACAGTACGGTATAATCCTTGTTAATATCCATTGCTTTAGTCCTCACTTTCAAACTTTGCAGAATGATAGTAAACCCTAATAAGTGAACGGCTTCAACTTATTTTTTCGAGTTTCGGTTTCCGTCTTTCCAAATAAAGAGGATCACATAGTCGAGTGTTATTGCCTGGTGGCTCCATTGAGTCCATAAAAAGACCGTTTTCAGGTTACCGGGTAGAAGAGCATTCAAGATGGTTTGGGCAGTAATGTTAAGCTCTACAATATCCAACCCGAACCCTTTCAACTTCACAAACGAACAAGCAGTAAGATTTACGTCCACGGTGGTACCGTTGTACAAAGTTGTTGCGCGTTAATGGCAACTGCGGTGTCCCTACACAACACTTAATGCTAAGAAGTGGGACTTCTTCATTTTTGCGGTAGACTTTCCTTTTAAACACTTTGAAATGGAGCTGCTAAACATGCTCCCAACTTGGGATGATAAGTTCTGCAAGAACCATTTGCAAGAATCATAGTATCATTTATCCATCGCAAAATTACAGAGCATCTTGATTTTGGAGCGGGTATGGGTGAATTCACCCAATTCTGGATGTACGCGGCGAACCGCGCGGCGGAATTCTTGGTGATTCGAACGACTCTGGCGCCTATAATTGGGACACAGGTTTTAAGTAGATTGGATAGGCATGGCCAGCTGATGCTACTTAACTCATCTACCCTGTATCAAATTTGTGCCCCAATAATAGGGACCAGTCTGGATCACCATAAATTCTGCCGCTCACTTTGCCACGTCCATCCAGGATTTTTCGATCCCGACCATGTGTGTGATAATGGACGCTTGCCACTAGATCGCTTCCCATTCTTCAACCAGGAATTGCACTGCACCAAAGTCAGATGTTACTACACAGTCATCGATTTTTCGTATTTTTACTTCAAAAAAAGTTCCCTCTCATCACGCTTGTGCTATTTTTTCCTGGACGAGTCTGGAACCACTAAAACACACCGTTATGTCAATAATCGATCAAGAAACATGGCAGGTTTTGTTGGCCTGGGGGGACATCAGCCGGGGAGTCGACCCCAGACCATACGTATGGTAGCGCGCCATTTGCCATCACATCGCTCCGACCATTCTTCGATCATGAATCTAATCAAAGTCAGACGTTACTACACAGTCATCGATTTTGCTGTACAATGATCGTATTTTTTACTTCAAAAAGGTTCTTACTCATCGCTCTCGTGTTATTTCTGTAGTTATCGTATGACTCATGCATCTGCCAAAGAGGAAATTTGGGACTACGTGGTCAAGTATGGAAGTGAAGTGTAATGTTGAGTAACAATAAAAACTGTCAAGGCATAACTGATGGAAGACGCAAGAACCCATCATTGCATGCAAGAAACCGAGACGCGAACACACTCATTCGGCTTTCTGTTACGATGGCCTCGATCGACCATCATCAGTTATCATTGCCTGCCCACGTTACAGCGATCTACTAGCGGTAACCGGTCGACGAGGCACACAAAAGACGACAGAAACTACCCTTCCCACCCTTCAAATTCGACGCTCATACGCTTATTTGTCCTGCGTCCGTGCTCGTAGTCAATTCCACCTTCTATTCTTTGACAATTCACCCTTCTTTACACATAGAGATGGCAGAAGAAATCATTTCGAACCTTCACATTTGCTTTTCTATCAGAAACAATTTGAGATTCTGGGGAGTTTCCTGTTGTCTACTGTACTCTTGTGCTCAGCCTCTTGGAAGATAAAACGCATGCAATAGAGAGGGCACTATTCCCCATGTACAACACCTTGCTGCCTTCCTCCAACCGAACATTTTCTATAGAACGAGTGGTCGTGTTGGCTCCTATCATATTCCCTAACTATTTGTGAGGCTGTGCGAATCTAGCAAGTTTTCTCAGTTTTATGTGATCTATGTATGGTTTTAGGACCCGGAATGAAGCTGCTTGTTGTTGTTTGTCTTGTGTCGGCTGCGTCTGCTATACCTTTCCTGGGTACAGTTCAATCAGTAGCTGTGATGGGACATCTCACATGCAACGGCAAACCAGCAGAAAATGTAAAGGTGAAGCTGTACGAGAAGGAAGTCTGTGAGTTTTTGCTGTCTTTTACATGTCTACCACCATCATCTTTTACATTTTTCTATGTGAAAGACTCTTACATTTTTCTATATGAAAGCGTTTAGTGCTTGATAAACTGCTCGATGAAAAATTCACCGACTCAAAGGGCTTCTTTGAGATGGCCGGAAGCAAGAAGGAGCTCACTACCATTGACCCTAAAGTGAACATCTACCACAAGTGCAATTACGATGGAGTGAGGCATAATTTCATTCAGTAAACCTAAGAAATCCGAACTAGATGCTGAGTTTTCAGGGAGAGATCAAAGGAATTCTGTTTTTTATTTGTTATCGTTTGCCCGAATGCCACTTCATTTAGATCTTTTTCTTTCTTTTCGAAACAGTAGAAGAATGGGATATTTCCTCTAAATTATGGAGTAGAGTACGTGGATAATCGACGTCTGAATAGAAGTATTCTTCCAATCTTACTGCAAAGCAGTGAAATGCATGACTCGTTTGAACAGTCTTCAATTAACATACCCTGAGAATGCGTACTTACGGGAACTTGGAAAGGCCAAGTTCTATCCATAACTCTTTGAGACTTGGGTGTTGGTGCGATAGTGGCAGAGGCGATGTTAGTACAAGCGTAGTCTGAGTTTGATTTCTGAATCCATTACAGTCGAGTATTTTTTCTACACACTGCAATTACAAATCATTTTTTAGATATGCTACAAGAAGATTTCTGTGAAGATCCCTAAGAACTTCGTTACGGAAGGAGAAACAGCTTCCAAGGTATTCGACATTGGAGAGCTCAACCTGGCTGGCAGTTTCTCTGGGGAGAGCACGGACTGTATCAACTGATTGGCTAAATAAAAATCTTACTAAAATTTTTGTGACGTTCACAGTTGGATTCAACAAGCTTTTCCTTTTCTCAGTTTGAAGAAGTAGAACTTTTTACATTCTAAGCTGGCGAAGTCGTTGTTGCCAGATTGTCAGAAAGGCAAAATCCAAAATTTCCGAACAATCTCTGCATTCAGATGTACCCAAGAGCTTGATCGCTTCTCCTCATTCAGTTCGGTCATCAGTTTAACGCCCCTCCAATCCCATTTTTGGATCATGAGGGGATTTTTGTTGAAGGTTCAATAATGATAAGGCATCACCATCGTTGCACCACTTTTTGGTTGTCCTATACCGGAAGGATCTTTGATGGAATGGTATGCTGATTGGTCTTGGCACTACATCAATTGATATGCTTTTGTAAGGCCCTCTCTCGATACTGGCATATCATCACTCATCACCAAAGCACCGTTCATATTACATCAAAAGCACAGCAAACTAGCACATATTGAGGTATCCTTTGTAAGTTGGGAAGCGGAACTGTTGGCGGAGAATAGTGCATCGATGTGAGAGAAGCAGCGAGAAAATCCACAAACTTCATAAAAGTTAAGGCTTCTTCAGAGCAATGTATGAAGAATCCATACGCGATCACCATGGAGGGAATGACATAAATGAGGTTGTGGTTGAGACTCCAGCTGCTGCAATTGCTTGAAGAGCTGACTATAGTCAAAAGTGCTTCTCAAACTCATATCAAAAAAATTCACCTCTGTTTAATTGGTTCATTGTTGTGACGCATACCTTAGTAGGCAATCCAAAAGGTAAATAATACGTAAAGAAATAATACGTAAAGATGAAGTTCTGAGTGTTAACACTTTCTACTCCTAAGGATTCAGTTTACGAATAGCAAATGGAGAAATCCCTAATGGGAATGGATTTCTTCTCAACTATACAGTTTGTTATGTATGACCGTCTCATATGCATGTAGTTCATGGTCACCTTTCTTACAATTCTTTCAATGACATCAACAGTGAGACAGAATAAAACCAGAAATATACATATGAATCATCAACTAAAGCAGTGAAAAAACGAGAAGCCGCCATTTCTTATTCGATAAAAAAGCTGTATTCATTTCAAGGATGAGTTGTATCGAAATACGCATAAATATTCATAACTTTTTTTTCAAAACTTCACGGAACCTTCTGTTTCAGGAAGTCTAGCAACTACGTTTTCGTAATTCTCTTCTGGAATTACTAGTGCTCTGAGATTGTTGTGAGTGTGCAGACATTCGAATGGACTTACCTTTCGCTCGAGCTACACAAATGTTGAAGTTTTAAATGTTAAGTATTATTTTTGTTAGTTTCGGGTCATATAGAAAAGCGAGAAGATGGGCTCTCGATACAGACTGATGGTTCAATAGATTCTCTTTAAGGATTGGAAGCAAAATACTTTATCATTGAATACGTGCTGATAACGAAGCTCTACATAAGTTGACGTAAGCCTAACGTCCCTCTTAACTTAGTACGCACATGAGGTGCGCTTAATTGAGATTGCATCTGTCCAGAACAGTTTTAGTAAAGGTCAGCAAAAACCCTCTAATTCAATAAGAACCAGGGCTGTTAGCTTCATTGAATATTCGCAGGGTGAGAATATACGGTAATACCTCGGACTTTTCAACATGAAACACATATGTCTTTTCAGAATAAAATTAATTTGGAAGATAAGTCTTGCAACAGTTTGAACAGGTTTTTGGATTTTGAATTTCTTTATTAAACAGAACCTTCAATCCACAATATATCTCCATTATTATCTAGGACCCGTGCACATCCTTCAGGCAGCTTCTCGATCCCTCGTCTCCAGACTTCCTGTGGCTGCGAAAAAAGGGGTCGATTTCATTTTCGAGTTCGCGACGATCATCAAACTTTTTATCGCCTATATGGTGCTTCAGTGCTCTGAATAGGTGTTAATCGGAGGGCGCTGGGTCCGGAGCTAGAATAAGCCGCATGAGGCAGTACTTTCCAGAGTTCCTTAGTTCGAGACTCAGCCATGTGCATCCTGTTCGTCTTGTCAGACAGGCGTAGTTCATGAGGAACCCTTCGTGAGAATATCGATCTGTAGCCAACCTCGTGGAGGTGTTCAATAACTGTCGTATGAGTGCATCCTATTGTTGTCACCTATTCGCTGCTGGTCGCATTCAGCTGCTCTGAAGGGTGCTGAGTAAACGCTCATAATTCCACTCCAATTGGTGACCATTACGTTGTCTGTCCTCGAATAAAGTTTCTCCGACATCGAAGCCCCTGTGCTATCGAAAGTGAACAACGTCCTTCTTGAAGACAGCGCAGATATTAGCCGCGGTGGCTCTGGCAGAGTGTCAATGCAGTATTGTCTACTTAGTAGTTAGAAGTAGACAATACGTTGGATGATAACTCGATCCATAATGGATTCCAGTAGCACAGGATTCTTGACGAAGCCGTTTTATGTCCATTTTTAAAATCTTTCAGAACAGCAAGCAGGCGCGAAACATTCGAAAAAGGCTTTGGTTCTAGAGGGAGCATGTTCAAATTGTTGCAGGACTTATCTTCCAATCTAATAGGATTGCTCGAGGAGCAGCACACTTTATTCCATTATTGAAAAGCTTGGTTAGGAATCTATGCAAACTTTTTCGAAGTATTCTTAAGAGACTATCATTTACTTTATTCTTGTTACAAAAATTTTCGAGCGGCAGAAAAGTCAAAAACAAAATCATAACGAACAGATCCTGATTAAAGTTTCTTCATTTCGCAGGGCGAAAAATTTCAGTTAGTCGAAATTATTTTCAAAGAAAAACGTAGGGAAACGTTGAGGTTCAACCCCGGGTATCGTGTATCTGCCCTGTCAAGATAGGACGTTTTTTAAGATTCTGTTCAAATTCGAAACTCGTAGTGAGGATTGCGACGATGCTCAGCAGAAGCTGTATTAGGTGATAAAGGCTGTATGGCTGTATGGATGTTAATGATTGTATCTAGATTAGATGGTCATCCTGACTCAGACTTTGCTGATCCGACGACTGCGACGGTACACGGTAATCAGTTCACCCTCCTTGCGGCCTACCTTCCATGTAGGTGAATAGTTCACTTCATTCCTCTGTTGATCGCCTTCTGCTCCGAAATCCTGTGACGGACGAGACCATCCATTGAATCGCCCTTCCATTCATGCATTTTTCGTGTACTAGGATCGCCTTCCTACGATAGATCCTCCGGTGTACTCTTCCAGATCAGACTAGTTTCTCAAATAAAAACGAGCAAAATAATCAACAAAATCGGACCCTTGAAAGTGAGCTGTGGGAACAGTGAGTGAAGCCCCTTGGATTAATGGCGACGGTCTGGCATCCGTGCACTTCGCCTTCACGAGAAGCTAGCAGCTCTTAGACTCTTGGCCTTCGCACCTCATTCTAAAATTTCGGAACCGCTGGCGGAATAATGTATTTGCTGACCTGGTTGGCGTTGTAGCACTGAAGATTTTGCCCCACGGAAGTTCAGGTGGATGCTTGGACGCAGAAACAGTAGTCAGCAGCTGGTGGCGGTTTTCGTCTAGGCGGTGGGTGATAGGTCAGATCTTGTTTTTTTCAAAAGTTTGCCGAACTCGTTGCAAACGAATCTTGATACCTTCAAATCAGATGTTGAAGAAGCAACCTATGTCAGGATTGTGATTAACTTTCCGAGTAGAAGGTCAGAGTAGTAACAAATTGCATGCTCGTCCTCGATAACGGCTGGAAAACTGTAGGCGGATGAAGGTTTGATGGACTTATGTCTTCCTCTCATAAGTTGCATAACAGCGGCTTTCTAGAGGTTGAGCTACTTCTGAACGGCAAAAGGTATGAAAAATCGTGAAACGTCCATATTCGCTAGTCGTTGAAATCCTAATCGGGGGTTTATGTCATTTGGCGCGATCCTTCCCATCGCGCCGACCATTCGACGCGGTTTCCGAGCCGGACAACTCGTCCAAGCATCATGAAAAAGCCGAATAGACGACAGGCAGAATACAAGCAGGTCCGCCATTCGGGGTCTAATAGTAGCGGTGTCGGGCTTCTATCAGCTGAAGAGGCAGTGGGTGCCCAATCACTTCGACGAGTTTCCAGCTCGCAATCCGCGTCGAATTGACGGCGCGATGAGAGGGTTCGCGCCAAAGGACCTTCTCCCTCTAATCGGAGGTGTTGTGTCATCTTGGCGCAGTGAAGTATATTTTTGTAGTAATTCACGAGACGGATATCTGTACAGATCATGACTTTATTCACGGTATAAATGGGGAGGTACAGATCAGACGGCTCTCGCTCCCTCAAGACCATCATGATTAACTGCAAGGCGTTTGATTCAGTTCAAACGTCTGAAACCTTCAAAAAAAATCCTAAGTGTCACCAGTTGCAGGGGCGGGACCAGGGGCTCCACGAAGTTGGACACTTAACTTCAGCTGCAGGGTCAGCATTCAATGATCTTCATTCATTGCACTGTGGAAGGGGCAGTCCTCGGAGTTTCTCAATGTAAATCGTCAACGGACGGGATGAGGATTGCTGCCACGTTTACCAAAGAATCGAAAATGGCCCGTACACGTAGTGCGCATTTTGATGCCGCTGGACCGGGGTTGTTTCTGAGTGAAACTCTGAAACGGCGAATAGGCTACCTGCCCGATGGCTAGACGTCTTCTCAAACGCTCTGGACGAAGTGTAGGAATTGGTGCCCTTCGGACGAGTAGAGTCCACTTCACTATGTTGGTCCCAGGGGACGAGCAGAGACGTCACTAGCACCTGCTGGAATAACTCTGTGATTGACAGAAAGACACATGATTTATGTGATACAGGCTCTTGCTCAATTGGAAGAGATCGTAGAGAGACCTTTTCAGAAGGGTGTCCCCAGAAGAACATCCATGTTGCATTCGGATATTTGCTTTCTCAACCGTATGCATACTGCTTACCCCTTTTTCTATCATTAATCGCACCACTGTAATCATGAAGTTTCCCATTAATGGACATCTCTCTCCAAAGAACCTGAACA